TCTGCTTGGGATAACTGAGAATCTGTGACAGTTATTGGACTTTGGCTTTTTCAATGTTGCGTTCTTAGGGCCCTTCGCAGGTAAGATAATGTGCTAGAAGTGTTCACAGAACTCGGGGAGGTGTTTGCCTCACAGTCATGGTTTACTACAGCAAGAGGATGGGGGATTCTGAGGAAGAGCAGACCAGGAGCAGGCTGGTGGTGCAGGTTGGGCTGGGAGGACCAAGGCAGAGTCCAGTTGTCCTCTGCCTGCGGAACCGTGGGGGCTCTCAGCAGCAACATGCGGCAATCCATGACCACCTGGGAAGTTCACCCAGGTCTCAGCAGCCCAGGCTTTCCCAGGGGTTGATGTGGACCACACTGCTGGCCTGCACAGGTGACCCTGTTCCCTAAGCCCTCCAGAGGGCAAGCTGATCCCACAGACCCCGTGTGGCTCCCTGCCCACCACAGATGGTACCGTAGGCACAAATGATGGCTGGCCTTGGGACCTGTGAACAATGACTCCCCAGCAGGCCACGCCTCGGGCCACCTCCCCGGAGCCAGAGCAAGGATGAGCTCCCTGGCCGCTCAAGGTCACTGCCTGCCCCTGGAGTGCACTTCAGAATGCCTTAAGGCTTCTGGAGACTGGCGTCTTCAGTGGAGCTTTCTGCACAAGGCCTCAGGTTTCCAATCTGAAGCCAAGCTTGCCAGCCTTGGGCATCAGCTATTTTTCATGGAGTCCTCAGGCCAAATGAACTCGCTCACAGTCACCTGGCCCAGTCAATGAACAGTAGCAGTTTGCAAAGCGTGTGACAGGACTCACTGTGGCTCCCCTGAGCATTTCAGTACCCCTGGCGGGCGCGTTTGCTAAAGCTCTTCAGGAGGCCTGCCACAGATGGGAAGTCAGAGCCCTGGCGACGGCTTCAGTCACCACACAGAGGCATTATTTCACTGTTTATTTTCTTTGAAACTGTTTTGTTGGGATCTAAACATATACAGAATGCTTGGTACTAGAGTTCTATGTGCACAGGTAGCATCTGTCCTGGGCAGTACAAAGTGTATTACAAATGCGGCAGCATTAACAGTATAGGAAAAAAAGCAATGAAAATTACTCTCTTTCAACAAATCAGTAAATTAAATTTTCCAGTGCTCGACAGAGACCTAATAGATATCCAAGAAATGTTTGTTGAAGTGAATTCTAACAAGGAAAGGAGGACTGGCTTATCTTACTTTGTCATGGGTATGGGTGCAAGTAAGGCTGACGACGCTTCATCTATTTCTCTGTTCCTGGGAAGAAATTGATTCACTGTTAAGAAAAAAAAAAACAAACACTTTGTCATCCTATTGTAAAACCAAAACTAAAGAACCTATGCTATGGATTTAAAAGTATCAACTATGTTTGAGTTTATTTATTAGAATGCTGTTGTCACTAGAGGGGTGTACCAGTGCTTGCTACAGACACAGATTTAGCATGAGGTCTACAAATATGTAAGGACTGGCAAGATTGGAGCACGTGGCAACCCACGGGGGTGGGGGAGCGCAGAGGGCGCCTGTGCACTGCAGACCCAGCAGACCCAAGAATGCAGCCGAAGCCTGGAGCTCACCACAGCGTGCTGTGTGAGTCTGAACCAGGAGGCTGAAGGTCTGCAGCGCAGGCTGAAGGCTCTGTGCTGGAAGCCAGGAGATGACGCCCAGGGAGAAGGGGAGGTCTGGACTCTTCCTCCAAAGGAGCAGAAGCGAAGTTCCTTCTTCCCTTTTGTTCCTTCCAGGCCACCGGCCCATTGGTTGCTGTCACTCACACCCAGGGCGGGACTGTGTCTTCATCACATCCCTGGACCACACCTAGAACTGTGTTGATCCATTAGTCCGGTGTTTCTTACTCAAATTGACGCAACAGTTAGCTAATACCAGGGGTTTCCCCTTCAGGAAAATGAAAACAGATGAGGCATCACAGAGAACAATGGTAAAGTATACTGCCCAAGAGCCACTGGATTTGTACTTCCCCTTCTTTGTAAAACATTACCCATATGGCCGGCCAGATAGCTCAGCAGACTAAAGCGCCTGCTTAGGCAGAGTGCAGCAGCTCAGGTTCAATCCCTGGCATGCCCTTCCGGCCCAGCTTGTGGGGTGTGTAGAGACAGCGATTGAGACTGGGTGTGGTGGCGTTCTCCTGAAATCTCAGTGCTCGGGAGGCTGAAAACAGGAGAATCGCTGGAGTCTAATCTACGCAGTGAGACCCTGTAGACCCTGAAACCCTGTTCTAGATATAAAACAAAAAAAATTACCCATGGACTTAAAAAAAATGATAGTACAGAGAAAAAACTTGAGGCCTGTAACATAGCTGAACAGACTAAAGCGCCTGCTTAGGCAAGTTTAAGCAAGTGCAGAGACTGCAGTTCCGTCCCTGGCACCAGCCCCGCCCCCAAGGGCAGGCTGAGCAGGCCAGAATCCTGGTGTGGTGGTGCACACCTGTAATCCCAGTGCTGGGGAGGCTGAGACAGGAGGATCACTATGAGTCCGAGCTGCATAGTGAGACCCTGCAACAACCAAATACACATTTAAAAAGAATAAAGAATAAAGAAAACATTCTTTGATTAGGGAAGTATCCTCTGTCAAATCCACAATACGAATAGGATTATGAAATGGTGCTAAACTTCTGTGATAACCTATGCTGAAAGCTTCTAAGTATATCAACTTTTTTCTCCAAAAAGTTGAGTTTTAGCACATTATCCTATGGTACATTAGGAATGTATGCAGTGGTTATGTTTGATGTTAATATGTATATTAACCATAGTATACAGTTTATTAAAATCATAAATTATCTAATATAATGGAAATGCTTAAATTATGACGTACAGCACAATAGGACATAGTAGCACATCATGGTAAGGTACAGTGTAGCAGAAAATCCCCTCTGTACACTCTGTTTCAGTTGCCCAGGTGATAGCTCTGATTCTAGTTCCGGTTGCTTCTGCCTCCTAGAAAGGGCTGGTCACTGTGGCGCATACTGTCAGAGCCAGGCCCCAATGGACAGGCCACTCTGCCGCTCTCCTTTCTGCTGGCTTACCCCACATAAGTCCTAGACCGCCAGAGATGAGGACCTGGTGCTCTGGGAATGATCCCAATCAGTGTTCATTGTCATAAATATATCTGCCTCCAAATCCTGGGGTCATTTTAGTGGTTTTGCTTTCTGTTGCAACAGCATTAAAATTTCTTACGTCTTACATGCACAGATGCAATGCCAGTATGAAACCTATCAATGTGGGAAAGGGTGTCGTGGCTATTTGGGGCAGTGGAGGAGGTAAAGTCTCTTCCTTCCTCTCTCCATCCTGCCTAGCTTTTGTTACTTTTAAAATGTGAACAAATTCTTCTGTTCAGTCTTCCTGTAAACTTGATGTCCAGGATAAGCCTGGGAGTAACAGAAAAAGTAACACTGAGGAATGACCAAAAGCCACTGCCATTTCTGTAGCACAGCCCTTGGGCTGAAGCCTCCTTTCACGAAGGCAAAGTTCACTGTGGATTAAAATGTGATGAAATGACACTGGAGCAGGAAGGTAAAGCACGAGTGGACACTGTGGTGTCGTATCTACAACTGTGTACAGCTTGCCTGAGCTCTGAGAATCTTAACTTGGTGGTATTAACTAAGCAGAATTTTTGGAACAGTTAGGACTTTCCATCAGCCCTTTCTAAGGATAATCATCCTTTCAAGAGAAAATAATCCAGCAGCACAATCATCAGTGGTGCTTGCCGTGCACAGGGAAGCTGATGACAGAATCAACTGCTTACCTGTGCACCTCATTTCTATACTGCTGAGTCCTGGGGTCCCAGGCTGCACGCAGAGTGTGGGGCCTGGATGTGGGTGAAGGCGGGGATGGGAGCCACGTGGTGCTACTGTCACAGAGCAAAAGGTCCCGCAGGGAAGAATCACAGCAAGAACCAGGGCTGCCTTTCAAGACAAAGGTGTGAGTGGCCAGCGGGAGTCCCAGTGGCCTCCTCTAGTTGGGTGTGCGCCAAGAAGCGCCAGCTCTGGTGAGCTGGACCCCAGGGATGGACAACAAGATGGCCACGCTGCAAGATCAAGTCCTTGGAACCCACGTGACAAGTGGACAAGAGAAGAACCCCCCCCAAGTTACCTGATGGCTTTGAGGGGTTTGACTGTACACATGATGGGGACAAACTTTTTTTTTTCAGACATCCACTATTTTCTTGTCCTTTTCTCAGCTGTGTTGCCCAGAAGACAGATCATTTCTCTTGTCCCTCTGCAAAGAGCAGGACACGGGGGCGCACACGTGGGCTTCTCTCCCCTGCCTAGAAAACAAGAAGCACTCTAGTGTGATTCAAGAAACAGCAGTTACCACAAAACCTTTTAGCCAGGTGGGGAAAAGGCCCCGAGAAGTGTTGAACCTTCCAACGCAGAAACCTCCGTTCTAGGGTCAGACCGATGTCAGCCACAGCTTTCAGAGCAGTGTGATTCAGTGCCCCGGGCCCAGGGATGGGCTGCTCCCCTGCGCCCCGCTTCTGTCCAGCCAGGGATTTGCAGGTGATCTGACAACAGCCCAACAGCAGCCTCAAGACTAAACACTACCAGTTGCAGCAGCAGCACTTGTACACACTTCCAGCTCTTTCCTGTCACATGAATGTGCACACTGAATTTCTTCTCAAAATAATAATAATAAAGGCTTTGTCTCGCCAGGAGGTTCTCCGTGGGCTGAGAGAACTACAGCGCCCGCCCGTTTGCCCGTGTCTAGGGGCTCGCACGTCCTGTGAGGTCCAGACATACTGTGCACGGTTAGCTGCAGCTCAAGGCGCGGCCCTGGGAGCCTCCAGACGCTCGCAGGTCAAGAACCGAGGCAGAGCTGCACGGCGCCCTGGTCGTCCGCTCGCCCACCCGGGGGGCTCTGCCTTCGCTGCCCATCTAAGGGCGTTCAGAAAGAAACATTTTCTAAAGACCAACAAAGCCATTTCCGGAGAGACTGGGGAGGGACAGGGAGGGGACACAGATCTCCAGGCTGAGCTCCCTGGATGGAACAGGTTCCTCGGTGCGTGTGTGCGGAGCGTGAGCGCGGACTCGCGGCGGAGGCGGGGCGGACGGACGGACAGTCGGACAGACGGAGGGCCGACGGGCAGCGGACGAGCGGCACCCTCTCGGCCTGGCCTCGGGGCAGCAGCACGGCTGGGGCCTCTGCGACGGGCGTCAGGGGGTCAGCTGGGCCAGGGCTGCGCCCGCTGCGGCCTGCGGGGGGCGCCGGGCCGGGCCGG